ATTCCTTTTTATAAATTATTTATCTAAACAAAATAGTTACAAATATTAATATTTTAAAATGATATATTTTTAAATGCTTTCATTTCAAATTTATTTAAAAGTTTAAAATTTTCTATCCAAATGCACACTCAATATTTTAATTTAATTTCTAGTTGTCCAATTCACTATGCAATGTTTTTTTTTAACCTTTCTTCAAGTCCAATGATCACTTGCGCGTGAAAGACATGTTAAAATTTAAATAAATAAGTAAATCGTTTCCTTTTAATTTAAGTTTTTAAGATAATTAATCATCTGATTTAACAAAAATATTTCACTAAATATGACATAAAAAATTAAGATCTACTCCCTCATCTTTCGAATAAAAAGGCAAAAATTATGGATATAAAATAATATAACTTTTCCGGCAACGCATTGTGGTCGGACCTTTTTTTTTCAAAATAATTAAGAATATATTTGATATATAAGATAATAATAAAATAAAATAATAATTATTTTTTATTATTTTTTATTTATATCTAATTAAAAAAGATAAAATTATAAAAAAATTATTTTTCTCTTAGTATAAAATGTTTCAATTAATTTAAAATAAAAAAATTATTTTTAATTTTTGATATTAAATTTATATATTTTATTATACTCTTAAAAATTATATTAATAATTTAAATTATATAAACTTTAAAAAATAATTTTAATCAATAAATTATTATTTTATCTTAATTATTGCATTTTTTTAAAAATAAAAAATAAAAAATTAATTTAATTTATAATATTATTTTATTTTATTCTATCGTAATTTTATATATAAAAAATGATTTAAGGTGCGTAAAACTCCATAAAACTCCGTTAGGCTCGAATCATGAGTCTAGAAGGCTCAGGCGTGGATTCTTTAACAGATAGTCTTGAAATCTTCTCTTGAAATCCTCTTGATTAATGTAGAACTTCATCTGTGTAAAATTATCTAGAGCTCCTATCCTTAAAACAGTAGGGCTCTAGAACCCATTTACTAGTCATTCACTTGGTTCATTCTCAGCCATACATGTAATGCATGTAATGGAGCTTTAATTATAAATAGGTATTCCTCTTCTCAACCATTAAGTATCAAATAAATCAATTTTATTTTGTAAGTATCAAATAAATCAATTTATTTACGAAATTAAAATATATTAAAAATTATAAATAAATATTTATATTAAAATATTCTCTTTAAATAAAAATCCTATAATCATCCTGTCAATAAATCCAAAATTAAAATATATTTATATATATAATTAAACTCATTAAAACCCAATATAGAAACAAATAAAAAAGTAGTGTGTTAGAAACAAATTGAGAAAATAATTGAAGTGAGCAAAATTAAACGGAAGAGACTGTTTATAAAAGTTGTTAAAGAAATAGTTTATTATAAAACGAGAATACAAAAAGTTGTAGAACTTTCTTTCAAGCTTCAAAGATTACTTGATCAAATCCCGATGACATATATATTCTGTTTTTTTTTCTTTTCTTTCTCTGTTTTCTCAACGGAATCATATAGCAATAGAAAGGATGAGGAAAAATGAATTTGAAATAATAGAAATCAATAAACTTTAGAAGATTGTGACAAAATGGCTAAAAAAAGAATTCTACCTATATTTTGTTTTTCAAATGGATAGAAAATCTACACAATAAATGAAACAAAGAAAATAAAATCATATAAATGAGGAAAGAAATTAGAATCATCTAAACAGGGAAAGAAAAATACCCATGATGTAAATAATCAAATATGGGACATTTCTTTTTCTTACTGAAATCAATTAAAAAAATATTTCTGTTTTCTCTATATTTTTCAAAATTTTCGTTTTTGTTTTGATAAATGTTTCAATTCGTCCAATAAGATCCCATTATGGCCCATTTAAGTCTCCATCCATCCAACTTTTGGCCTCACAAATCTATTTAGGACAATTTTATAATTTAACTTTAAGTTTTAAATGGCTTTTTTTTTTTAATAAAAATATATCCAGATCTAGTAAGTTATGATCATTTGAACTCAATGATCTCACTGTTAACTTATGGAAAATAATGAATTATTATATAACATAAATATTTTTTACATTATATTATTCAAAAAATTTTTGCTTGAACTTTAATAGTTTTAAATATTTTAAAAAGTTTACATTTAATAAAAAAGTATTACAATATTATCTCATGCAATTACATCTTTAATGTAAGTATCTTTAAATTTATAAATTAAATTGAGAATCACTATAGTTTACTTTGCAAAAGATATCTTTATAAGATATATAGATTAAAAGTATTTTTGAATAAATAAGAAACAAAAATTAATATTATATAATAAAATATAAGATTTTATTTTTATATATAATATTTATATTTCAATATAAATATCACATTTCATATTTTAATCATAAATACTATTAACATATGATTATATTTATATCTAAATAAAGAAAAAAATGTATGAAATAGTTATTTAATATCAACATATATATCTTTTATCCAAATCATATCATGTAATTATATTATTTGAAAAAATTAATTATTTATTATAAAATAACTAATTAATCTATTAAAATAAATATTCACCATTATTTTTTGCATCTTGGCCTAAAGATAAAAAAGCCTTAAGGAAGACATGAGAGTTTAGGTTCAAACCTAGTCACTCATCCTTTTTCCCATATAATAGGGCTTTGCCCTCTTATGAATAAAATTCACTATTTAATTATCATATAATATATGTAATAAATTATTAACTTTTTTCAATAATATAATTACATAACATGATTTAAATAAAAAAATAAATGCTGATGTGGCATAACTATTTCATGTAATCCTTTTTCTATTCAAATATAAAATTTTTTTAACATTTTTTAAAACTTAAATATTATTGTTATGATTATTATAAAAATAAATGAAATTTTTATTTGGTGGATTTTCACTTATGTTATTATTAAAATTTTAACGGTACCAATAAAAAATACCAAAATTTTAATATTTCTTACATGTGTTTGCTTTTGTTTTTTGATTAAAACAGGTTTAAGAATGATTTACCATTTTTATCATGTTTGTGTTACACTTTGATAAAACCAAAATGTCTTTCTACGTTTTAACCCATATGAATAGGAAAAATCTATACATCTAACCATCCAAGCATGTCTTATGTGATGAAGCCAAGTTCTTTTTTTGCAAATATGCATTCTTTTAATCCAAGATTCACTTTTTCTGCCACTACTTCTTAACGGAATCCAGATTTTGATTTTCCAAATGTTTCACGAACTATATCATCTAAATCTTTTGTTTCTCCAACAACTATATACATACTCAGTGGTAGAATCTTCTGCATGTTTGCAGTGACTTAGAGTAAATTATTCAATTGGTTGCTGAAATGACTTTTTTTTTTTTAAGTAAGGTCTATTTGGATGGGTGATGAAATTAGTTTCAGTAAGATTGAAAATAACGGTAGAAGTGAGATTAATTACTGTTACAGTAAAATTAAAACCAGTGATGGGATATGTGTTTGAATATAAAAATAACGATAGTGACAAGGTGAATTGTAATGAAAAATTACTATTAAAGACATTAGATTAAAGGTTATTTAAATTATTTAATATTTATAAAAATTATTTATTATATAAAATTTATTAATAAATAATTGAATTTATTTAAAATATTTATTCATGTATTAAATAATAAAATTTATTTATTATATTAAATTATCAAATTTATTTTATAATTTTTTAATAAAAATAAAATAATAAATCTTCAATGACATTTTCGACATAACAATAAAACTTAAAAGATAAAAATGGAAAAAAAAAGAAAAAATTAATTGGTCAGTTATCAACTGCACAAAAAATGGTCAGTTGATGATTGGTTATTGTTTAACCTCACTGTTATTTTGTTTGGAAGCAAAAGCTATGATTGGCACATTTTTTTATTGCAATTGTACTACAATGAGGGTGTAGTGCAATCCAAATAAGTACTAAGTTATTGAAGTTTAATTAAGCTCATTAAAGTCGCCAAGTTTCATTAAATATCTCAAATATAGTCACTTAATAGATTTCATCCAATCTATTTGATAAAAGCATGACATAACTGTCATATCAGCACCACATTAGTTAATTAAACCACTGTAAATTACAAAAAAAAAAATGTTATTCATTTTTATTTTTTCTTTCTGTTTCTAAATTTTTTCTTTCACTACCACTTCTCAAATAAATTTGGCAACTAAAATAACAATTTCAAACCAGTGGACCACCATGTTGGTTGCCATCTTCTATCGCTTAGCAGAGAACTTGAGGGAGAAAAGGAATATTAAAAGGCAAAAAAAAAAAAAGACTAAATATGATAATGAGAAAAATGACATTTTCAATATCCATAAAAATTACAAAAATAATTTGTCTAGAATTAAATCATTCTTTTATCACAACCATTTAGAACTCAAATTAGACAAACTATAATCATACACACTACTAGAAAAAATGTTTTTATCAATGAAATTTTTCATCAGTAATACATTTATTGACAAAATTTACCAACAAAAATTTTATCGATAATAAGCAAGTCAGTGATACTAATCTGTCGGTAAATTTAATTACTGATGGAAATGATGAAATTTTTTGTTGACAAAAATTTTGTGAATAATTGTGTTGAAAATCCGTTGATAATTGCATCGGAAATATGTCAATAAATCTGACAATATTTTTGTTAATGTTCCATCGGTAATTTCTTATTTCTATTACCAAAACTTGAATTCTGTTGATAAAATTATAATTTCATCGGTAATTTGATTAATTTCATTCATAATTATTAAAAAAAACTTATAAATTAAATATAAAGCATTTGTGATTATTTTTAAAGTTTATTATTTGTCTATTATTATTAATTAATAAAGTACCAAATTTACATCATAAAGTTTAAATCTACAAAAATTCTAAATCAATCTAAATTTAAAGCTAACATCCATGACATCTATAAAATATAATACTAAAATCTATAAAATCCACTATAAAGTCCTGAAAAACACATCATTATGCTGTTGCATCTCTTGATTTAGAATATGTGTTGTCGTCATCAAGTGTAGAAAATTGTATTGGCTGAAATTGTCTAGACTCCATCAACTGCATCATTTGATCCATGAAAGACCTAAGCTTAACTTTAGCTCAATCCTCCACTTATCAATTTGTTCTAGTATCTAAGGTTGAGGAGGTACAGATGATGAACCATAAATTGAGTGAGACTTGTTGTTGTAGTAGTGGACTGACTTGAGTAAAATAGGTTTTTAGATTTATCTGCAGATGCAAAGTCATATACATGAGTGCGCACAGCTTCAACCCCCTAATAACTTCAGTTAATGCCAGTGGATCAAAATTTAGATGGTTAGAAGAATCTTGACCATATTTTTGAGATAATGCAATAACACTGTTTTCTTACAAAAAGTTTAAAACAATTATCATCCATTTTACCTATATAGTTTAATAAATTAAGACAACTTCAAACAATTCACAACGTCAAAATTTAATTATTAAATATGCAATAGTTTCACTTTTCACAAATTCATTGCATTTTAATCCACACAAAATACTATTTAGTTTAAACTAAATTTCTTACGATATTTAGGCTTTGAATTACTATAAAGATAGTTCATCAATAATCGCAATACACAATCAAAATTACAAAACAAAATACACAATAGTTTTCACCTTTCACAAAGTCATTGCATTTCAATATGCACAAAATACTATCAAGTTCAATATTGAATTTCCTACAATGTTTAGGCTTTTAATTACTACACTATCTAATTCATCAATAATCACAATACACAAACCGAATCACAAAGCAAAATACATAATAATTTTCACTTTTCACAAAATCTTCGTATCTCAATACACACAAAACATTATCTAGTTCAATACTTAAATTTCTACAATGTTTAGGCTTTCAATTACTATAATATCTACTTCATCAACAATCACAATACACAACTACTATCACAAAGCAAGTTAGGCAATAGTTTTGACTTTTCACAAAGTCTTTGCATCTTAAAACACACAAGATATTATCTATTTTAATAAAGCAAGCCAACAATTTAAAAGTATTCACAAAGTCATTGGAAAGTCACTTACATTGACAACTTTGAACTTATTCTTAACGAAATCACCACATTCTCTTGAACATCTGTGAGTGTGATTGAAAACTTTTGTAAATATTAGTTCTCGTTGCAACTCAAGTGATTGTATTCATTTAGAGACATTTAATGAAATATGTAATAATGCAATTATATAAAATTGACATTTAATGATAAAAATAACTCTTAAATAAATATTATACCATTCTTTTTATAAACATGAAATGCAATCAAGTCGTCAATTAGCTTCATAATACTTTATTCTTTTTGTGTCCGGCAATTTTGTTTGGCTTTGGAGAAGATGTTTTATCATTTTGGAGTGCTTCATACATTCTCAATAAGAGCATCCCAAATCAGAGCTGTGATTCACCTCTACTCCATCCCTCTACAATGTATGATGTTGTCAACTCCACGCTCTTTTATTGCTAATTCCCTCTTATCGGATGACAAATCTTTTAATCAATTCTTAAAAATATTTACTTTTTGCAAATAAATAAATAAACAACAGTTCAACACTCAATCTTTATCGAACATTGTTTAAAAGTAAATATAGATTCAATTTAAAAACTAGCAAAATAGATAAATTTACATAAAAAGGTAAAACCATACATTGTCTTACTCGAAAATATCAGCCTATTTTAAAATTCTTGAAGAAGCAAGAAAAAAATAATAAAAGTAACTGCCAATCGAGCTTATAATACATAAAATAAAAGTTTTATATATATTTAGAAGAAGAAGAAGATTCGAACCATGGAGGGAGGGGTGGTGGCTATCTTTGCCCCAACCGATGCTGCGAGTGGCGTCGAGGTCCTGGTGAACGAAGTGGCAACACTTCTAGAGATGGTTGACTCTTTAAATGTGATAACACCACCTGACTTGTCTCGAAGGATCTTCGCCTTCTCTTTGTTGATCCATTTCTCTCGAACTATGTGCTCCTTCATTTCCAGCATCGCCACCGAGTCCTCGTAGGGATCGGCCCGGTCAAAGTCATGTGGTGCCATTTCCTCAAACTTTGGTACTCCTTTCTTCTTCCCCATCTCTCTCAATTTTTTTCATTCTACTCTTCTTTGCACTGTGGTTTGTTTTAGTATTCTGACGATTTTGGGTTTTGGATTTGAGTATTTGGGCGTCAAATATTTTGGTTCTCTAAACTTGTGTCATAGTTGGTCGGCCTATTAATTCAATTATATAAAGCAACCAAATCTTTCTAACTGTCCTAAGCTCAAGATTGCTTGATCTTGAAACATTTGTTCCGTTCAAATTTATAAACAGTTTTTTTTTTAATTTTCATTATTACTTATTTAAGTCATTTGTGCTTTTAATTCAATGATACGTACACGTTTATCTTTTCATTACATTGGAATTGTTAAAATGAGTGATTAAAGCTTTTAAGATAATTATTCATCTAATTTAATATGGCATAAGAATTATCGAATTTTAAAAGGTAAAATTTTTTTCATGTATGTTTGGATGAAGTATCTATAAAAATTTTTCAATCAAAATTTTTAAAAATAAAAAATGAACTTACTTACTTGGATAAAAATAAGATAATTTTTAAATTTTAAATAGAATTTTAAAAGAGAATTTGAATACCTTAAATCACCTCTTGAAATATAACTTAAATTGGTTATTTTTCACAATTCCTCTAAAGTCCAAATCCTCTCCCTCCTTACTATACATGACTTATCATAAAATATAAAATTAAAAAATAAATAGCATTTTATTTAATTTTAATATATATTTTATTTTTATATTATTAATAATATCTATATATTTTTACAAATATAGTGATACCCATATTGCATATTTTATTTATATACATATATATTTTTATCTTTAATATTATTATTCTTCTTTTATAATTAATTTTTCTCATCAAATTCTAATGAATTAAATTTAAAAAATTATTCAAACAAAATAATTACAAATATTAATATTTTAAAATGAAACATTTTTAAATACTTTCATTTCAAATTTATTTAAAAATTTTAAATTTTTTATCCAAATGCACTCTCAAGATTTTAATTCAATGTCTAGTTGTCCAATTCACTATTCAAAATTTTTTTTTTTAAATCTTTCTTCATGTTTATATTTTCTTACACGTAAATTTAGGTGCAAGTCTTTCCTAAAAAAAATTAGGTGTAAGTCCGATGATCACTTGTGCGTGAAATACATGTTAAAATTTAAATAAATAATTAAATAATTTCCTTTCAATTTAAGTTTTTAAGATAATTAATAATCTGACTTAACAAAAATGTTTGATCAAATATGGCATAAAAAATTAAAATCCACTCCTCTATCTATCAAATAAGAAAACCAAAATTTATGGATATAAAATAATAAAACTTTTGCATTAATGCATTATGGCCATTACTTTTCTTTAAAAGATTTAAGCTCCATATGACTCCATAAGGCCTTGGGCTCGAGTCATGAATTTGGAAGGCTCTAGGCGTGTATACTGTAACAAAGTCTTGAAATCTTCTAAATTAATGTAGAACCTCATCTGCATAAAACTCTTTAGAGCTCTATTCTTTGTAAAAGACTCTAGAACCCATGTACTAAGTCATTCACTTGGTTCATTCTTAGCCATACATGTAATGGGGCTTTAATTATAGGTAGGTAACCTTGTTTGTACACAGTTAAACAACCATTGAGTAATTATACTATTGTCTTGACTCTATTCTTAGTGTTTTGAGTGAAGTCTGATTTTGGATGTGGTAAGAGTTAATTTATGAGTTCAAGAGTTATACAAACTTAAAGCTTGAAACTGAGTTAATTTATAAGTTCATAAATTATACAAGTTTAAAATTTGAGTCTAGATTTGTCATATTAAAATAGGCTCCAAATTAATAATTAAAAGAAGTTTTGACTCTTGACTCGTGATATAAAAGTAGGTTGGAAGTTAATAATGAAGGAAAGACTTGATTAATTAATGTGCTGTTTAAAACAATATTATCATTCTCTCCAATGGAACCATGAGCTTATTATGTGATCACTTATTTTTGAAAGCAATTAAATAAAATTTTCTCTAACCTCTAAAAAAAAATATTTTAGTCACGTTAATAAAAACTTAAAAATAAATAAAAAATATATATTCATAAAAATTTAAAATTAATAAAAAAGATTTACGTAACTTAAAAGTAAAATAAAAATAGCACTTTGACTAAAAAACTTAGTAAAAATCAGGATGGAGATTTTGAGGAACAAAATTGACAAATTTAACAAGGCTATGATGAATATACATTAGAGTCAGAAGTCTTATAGTTTAATTTTTGGTATATCTTTGTGAAGGATTCAGCAACCATTGCAACTTATTCGCGTAAGTATCTAAAAAGTGAAACAAACTTTTATGTCTATAGTGAAATGATCAAAAACGCTTTTAAGCTAATTAAAATTTAATAATCATTTAAGTTTTTATAATTTTTTTATAATGAAGTAAATATTTCAAAATCTAATTTTATTGATTAAGTTATTTTTAAAGAAAAAATATTAACTGTTTTTAATCTTAGTTGTTTAATCTTATTATAGAATTGGTGATGAATCCAATCACCATTTCATGGACTTTATTTTCATTATTTTATAAAGAAAAAACCTTAATATTTTTGTACCACTATCAAAAAATGATGTATTACTTGCTTAGCTTTGTTCTCCACCGTTGTCCTCTCCTCGACTGTTTTTCACCATCGATAATGTATTTGATTTTTCAAGTTTTTTGTTATCTTGTTTGATTGAGATATATGTGTACTAAAGTAAAATATCTTTTAGATGCTAGTTATTTTATCAATATGTAAGCTCATTAATAAGACTTTCTGCCCAGACATTGTGTTGAAATCTGCATAGTGGTTGACATATTTCTTTTGCCCAATATTAATAACATTGCAAGTGTTTTGTTTCAAGAAGGATGTGTTTGGGCGACATTATATTGAAGCCAATTTCAACCAATTAGTTGCAACACATGTACTGGTTTTTTTTTTTTGTTTTGTTTTAAATCCCTTATAACGTTTATGTTTTTTACATTAATTTGTGGGCACTTTCATTTACCTCTTAGTCTGGGTTTTTAACAAAGTTGAAACACTGGTCAAGGGATGTGTAATTCTTTCTTTCTTTCTTTCTTGAAGGGATCAACAAAGAATTTACTTCTATCTCGCACATTAAGAATGAGACCTGCTTTCATAAGTGTTGCTAGTCCATTACTACTTTTAGTCTTCACCATTTCAACTTTCGTCTTACAAATATTCATCTATATTTCATAATGATTTTTTCCCACAATACATGGTGTAGCAAATACAAATAAATACCTTTTTTTATTATCAATGCAGCATATGATTCGTGGTAGGTTTGTTTATTTCTACTTTGGATAAGTTAAAATGATTGTGCAAATCAATACTGAAATTGTATATATGAAATAAATGCAACTTTCTTTGGTCATTTAATCTTGTTGTTATGGCTAGACAAATTTGCAAACCACAAAACTCAATTTTGCTAATAGTGGTAAATTTAAAATGTTGGATTGACAGGTTTTAAGGCAAAGGCATCAATGACTATATAATGAATAATGGTAGAGGTTTTATGTTGTTGGTATAGTTATGCTTGAAGTTACATTTAACTCAGACCAAATCCTTTCCATAAACTTGGTGCCAACTTAAAATGTAATGAAGCTTTTTCTGTGTTGTTTTCAAGCTTAAGTTTTTATTAATTTTTTATTTTTTACCCGTCGTTTATCTAGTTTGAGCTTTCTTTTAGATATTTTGGATGGATGGTAGCTTCCACTTCTTACTTGACATGTAATACCAGTTATAGCCTACTAGTTAACGACATAAGTCTTTATCTTCATTTCTTATTTCTAGACTTAAATAGTTTAAACTAAGTAGAATAAGGCTTAAAAAAATAGAATTTTAATTCTTCCAGAAATTAAGTTGCCCCTCTTTAAATGTCAATTACAATTTTGTTTGTAGAGGTCATGTGATAATTAATACATGTGAAATAACATCAAAGCTCACTTAGTTGTATCTCTTTTCTTTTATGTTTTCTTAGGAATTTTTGTTGTTTTACTTTCAACATTGAATTGGTACTTAAAATTACAAGTTTGCAATGGCAATACCATCAAAATTTGTAAGAAACACTTATTTCTTATTTTTAAAGTTTCAGTATACTTCTTAATCAAAATTTGGAGAGAGAATAAAATGGTAGAAAACAAAATTATATACTCAAATATTGCTATACCACTCATATACTCTAATAATGCTATACCACTTATATGCCACTCATATATTTTAAGGTTAAAAGCTTGTAATATAGTACTTTTTTTGGAATTTCTTGTTAGAGCTACATTTTTATATAGATTTCACTATTTCTTCACAAAAATATTGCAGAAGCTATTTTTGTTTGGAATATATATATATATATATATATATATGCAAAGATATTGAGTTGTATCGGGTTTTGTTGCCAAATAACCAGGGTTATTCTCACTATATGTATAATCTTAGAGGAAATAAATTTTTAGACTAAACGAATCTGTATTGAGCATATATTTCCTTATCTTTGCATTATATTCACTTACAAGCTAACTTGCTTATGTAGGCAATGGATTTTCGAATGGGTGCAAATCTAAAGGCTTATATGGTATATGAGATTTGGTAGGAGGTTGCAAAAGCAAAGTACTTACAATGGGATCATGCATTTACGAAACGTTTGTGGGAATTGCAAAGTTTGAAGTATGTCTTCCTTGTGGGTTTAGACATATGCTTCTAGTCGGTTTAGACATATGCTTCTGGGGGAAAGATTACCTTTTTTAAATCTTTTGATGAGAGCTGTCCCTAATGTTTATTTTTGGTTCAAACAAATATTTCCTCTATTTTGTATGGAGGCTTGTGAAACTACCATAAGAGAAAAACATTTTCTTGATGATTGTCAACCAGGAGGTTTCTTATATGAGGCTAGTAACAGAAATCATATGATGTATTTTATAGATGTTATGGGCATTTTATGAATGTTAGAATGTTATAGATAATTTGGATTGTTTTTAAATTTATGAGGTGGATTTGATATTTTAATTAATAATAATAAAATTTTTAAAAAATTACACATGTTTAATTGTAATTTACAGGTTTCTTCAATAATTATAAATGAAATTAATCGAATTATTGGTGAAATTATAAATTTACTAACGGATTTTGTTAACAGAATTTTAGTATTACCAACGAATTTTAGGTCATTACCGATAGATTTACCAATAGAATG